ATCCACAAGGTAGGAGTTCCTTTAAGACCTATCGTATCTTTCAGAGGTACACCCACCTATGGCCTAGCAAAGTGGTTAAGCTTAAAACTCAAACACCTGATCGGTGACTCCCTAACCACGGTGAAATCCTCTGAAGATTTTTTGATGAAATTACGTACATTAAAGGTTAGAGACGATGAAATCATGATCTCATTCGATGTAGTATCCCTCTTCACATCCATTCCCCAAAATCTAGCCATCTCTATTTTTAGAAACCTTCTGCAAAAAGGAGAAATACAACACCCCAATTCTCCTAGCACAGAGGACTACATACAATTACTGGGTTTCTGCCTTCAAACTTATTTTACTTACAAAGACACAACTTATGAGCAAGTGAAGGGCACACCCATGGGGTCACCCATTTCAAGCATCATCGCTGAAGCAGTACTGCAGGATCTAGAACGTGTTGTCATGGCTGATTATCAACCTAGTTTTTGGGTTAGGTACGTGGACGACACCTTTGCAGTCATTAAGCGATGTGATACCACCAAATTCTTACAGAAACTGAATTCATTCCATCCAGACATCCAATTTACAGCAGAAGAGGAGGACAACAACACCTTACCCTTCCTGGATGTCTTGGTCCATCGCCTTCCAGATGGCAACCTATCAACCACCGTCTATCGCAAAACCACTCACACTGATAGAATTCTCCACTACCAAAGCAATCACCCTATATCGCATAAAATCAGCTGTTTAAGAACTTTATTCAAAAGAATCAAGACCCACTGCAGCACAGAAACAGCAAAATCTAAAGAGAAAGCATACCTTCTCAGCATATGCAAACAAAATAATTACCCACCAAGCTTCATCAAACGTTGCTGCAAAGATAAAACACCACACTCAAACTACAATGCTCCAACGAATACAACTTGGGCAACACTCCCATACATCAATGGAGTCTCAGAAGCAACCGCCAGGATCCTTGCCCCATACAATATCAACATAGCACATAAACCCAACCAAACGTTACGTTCCCAGTTGATGCAACCCAAAGAACCATTACCAATCAGTGATTTGTCCTCCATCGTATACAAGATCAACTGCAACACATGCCAATGTAACTACATTGGAGAAACATCAAAAAGACTTAAGACCAGAATACATGAGCATGTTTTGGCAGTAAGAAGACAAGAACAGCGCTCCCAAGTCTGGACCCATATAGCTGAGCATGGCCACACTTTCAACTTTAAAGGAGCAGAAGTCATTGCTCATGATTCCACCAAAGGAGGCCGTCTTTTAAAAGAAGCTTGGTTTTCAGACTGTCATTCTATTAATAGACACATAGACCCACTACCTGCTTACCAAACCCTAAAAAGACATTTACAAAAACATAAAGTACCTAAACACTTCAACCCAATCAATAATAACACAAAAACACCACCCCAGCCACTTATCAAACCCCAAATCAACCCCAATAGATATCCTTTCTACAACACAATCCTTTTCATCAAACCTAACTAAAGAATATAATTCTAACACAACCATGACAACTCACACAACCAACACACCATGATCTGATATTCTCACACACAGAAACAACAATCCCCCTGACCACAACATCCAGGACACAAACATCCAAAACATAAATCCTGCAACCTCACAAGATACTCACACACAACAAAACATACACACACAACACTTAAGTAACAACAGAATATTAAGACCAAGACCAAAACTCCCCCCTACAATGAAATATGACTTATCACATTCAATGGAACAAAATATTACAGCCCAATTCCCAAACACCACAAAACCACCCACAACTAATAAGCATAACAAACGAACACACACAAACATTCCAAATAACCGTACCCAACAAAACACACACACACAACAACCCTACACCAAACAAACTATACAATCCAAGAGGCTGGCTAAAAGGCATGCTGGATCTACGCGCCAAACAGCTGACAAGCGCGACTTTTAAAATGGTCTTGAGACTGACTGCTCTATGCCTTTAAGAGCTTCTTGGGCACAATGTGTGCACATGCCTCACTTCAACTGTTTTTTAACTGTTATGTAAATTTATGCACATGCTCCCCCTTCTCATTAGCCCTTTGCTCTGATGATGTTAACAGGTTGTTAACGAAAGCTCAGCAGTTAATAAAAAAAAGACTTTTATCTTACATCCCAGAGCTCTTTATTTTTATCTGATTGACTTTAAATGTCCATACCTGGGATTCCTATATTCAAAATCATGAATGTGTAAAATTAGGTATTTCCCTAGGAAATCTATAGAATGCCAAAAAATGGGATGTCAAAGCATGGAACTCTTAATATTTCACACATTTTCTAGGCATTCTATATAATGCCAAAAGGTAAACAGGTAAAGTGTAACATAATCTCGCTAAAATGCCATTCTAGCATTCCTTGTTGAAGCAAGTAGGTCAATACTGGTGTTTTTCTATACTTTATTTTGCATTTATTATTTCATTTTAATATACATCTTTTCAATATAGGGCTAGAGTTAGGGTTAGCCTAACTCTAACCCTTTTTATGACTCTCTTTTCATACTTTGCCTAAATAATTCTTACCATTCTGCATAATGCCTGGGTATTATAGGTGATTCTCAACTAATGACCACCACTGAGCCCCAAATTTCTGTTGCTGAGATATTTAAGTGAATTTTGCCCCAATTTACGATCTTTCTTGCCACATTTGTTAATTGAATGACTGCAGTCGTTAAGTTAGTAACACAGTTGTTAAGTGAATCTGACTTCCCCTTTGACTTTGTTTGTCAGAAGGTTGCAAACCATGATCACATGACCTAAGGATATTGCAACCATCATAATTATGAGTCAGTTGCCATCTGAATTTTGATCACATGACTATGGGGATGCCACAACGGTCGTAAGTGTGAAAACCTGTCATAAGTCATTTTTTCAGTGCCATTGTAACTTTGAATGGTCACTAAGTGAACTGTTGTAAGTCAAGGACTATCTCTATCTGTCACGAGCAAACAGTGACTAATTGGTTATAAATGGGCTCTCAAATGGTGCCATGAATAATAAAAGTGACTACCTGTACATACAATGCCCAGGCCCTAGGGAAAGTACATATAGCATATTAAAATAAGATATTTCATACTTCGCCCCAAGTATGCTTTCTATAGATTTCCTAGGCATTCTATACAATGCCAGCTTTTCACACCTTGCCGGTCTCACTCACACACACACACACAAAAACCTTCCTTTTGGCACTAATGGCATTAGGCAGGTGGTGATATACAGCTACAGTAGCAGTGGCAGCTGTCCTGCCTCAGCTGTCAATGCAAGATAGTATCAAAAAGTGGAACTACATCTGGCAAATACTGAGCCAGAGCACAAATCTTGGCTCATATCACTATCATATTCCCATCAGCCCCATCTGTATACCGCTATCAAAAGAGGGTCTCCTTAGATTTTCCTGCTCTTGGTGTAGAGATCGTGGGAAGCAGATAGGTCACTACTCTCTCCATACACACATTTTTAGCGGAAGGCAGGTTTCTAATGCTCTTCCACGGCCACTGAGTTGTGCTACACCATGCTGCTATACTGTCTCTTTGCAATTTCTTCCTCGTACCATTGGCCCTGGATTCCTGCTTCCCCCATGACTGGTCGGTTCTGGATGTTATGCTGAATACCGATGTTATCAGAACATACAGGTAGTTCTCGATGACTTATGACCACCACTGAGTCCCAAATTTATTTTGCTAAGTGAGACATTTGTTACATGAATTTTGCCTGATTTTACGACCTTTCTTGCCACAGCTGTTAAGTGAATCACTGCAGTTAACACTGCTTGTCAGATCACAAAAGGTGATTGCATGATCCAGGGACACTGTGGCTGTCATAAATAGGAGTGAATCACTGCTGTTGTTAAGTTAGTAACATTGTTATTAAGTGAATCTGGCTTTCCCATTAACTTTGCTTGCCAGAAGGTCGCAAAAGGTGATCGCATGACTCCGTGACACTGTGACTGTCATATATATGAGTCAGATGTTGTAACTTTGAATAGTCACTAAATGTTATAAGTCGATGACTATCTATACCTGTCACGACCAAACAGAGATTAATCGGCTATAAATGAGCGCTCAAATGGAGGCGTGAATCATAAAAAGTGGGAGAAAAAGAAAAACTCGATGGCGGGGTTTGGAACTAGCCGCCAAACACATTTTCGGTGTGGAAATTTCTCTAGTCGTAAGCTGACAAAAGGCTTTCCTTAGAGAAAGCGCTCTGCATATACTCTAAAGTCGCATACAAGCACTTCCGGCCTTGGCATAAGATAAGAACAACCCCGTTGAACGGCGTGGGGTTTACAGTACTTCCTAGATACCATTCGGGGAATGCGAAAGGCGGGGAGTTCCGGATGTGCCGTTGCCCGAGCAACCGAAATAAAACGCTCACCATCAAAGAACTCCCCTGTTCCCTCCGCGTCCCACGAGCAGTCGTCAAACTACGTCACGGGCCACCATGGTAACAACTTGGACGCAGCGTCTAACGAAGAAGGAGAGCGACGTGAACAAGATTCTCTGAATTTCCCGTGACCCTTCTAGCCGGGACCATTTACTCTCTATGGTAAAGCTTGTTGTTTTCATCCCTTCAGCTTTTTCTTCCTTCGTCTTGATGACGAAGACGGAAGTGAAAATGGGAAAACAATTGACACCGACGACAAAAACAAAAAAACCTAAACCCGGAAGCGGAAATGGTGCAAGAAAGCCAGGGAGAGTGAGAGAGAGGGGACAGACAAACCCTTTCTCCTGGAAAGAACCCAAGGCCGGGATGGTGAGTGATAGATGCGCCCAGCCGAACCGAGGCCCCTTGGGCTTTTCCCACTCGCGCGGAGACCTTCTTGCCCCCCATTCGGCTCCCCTGTCTGCCCTTGAAAACGGCTCTTCTTCTGCCCCCGTCCCTCCCGCGAGTGGGATGTCTTGGGTGCTGGGTCCAGGATGTGGAGAGGCTGCCGGGTTGGGGTGAGGGGAGTCTTCTACATCGCAGTCTAGCTCAAGGTAGGACTGGGAGGCTCATCAATCCAGCGACTCCTTGCTTCCCACCAACGGCGCTCAGAAGGCCGCGCGGGCAAGTTCCGAAGAGTGCAGCAGGTCACCAAGCAAGGCTTTTCCGGTCGCAGGAGCGGGGCAGGAAAAGGAGCCACGTCATGTGAATCGGTTCACCCACACGCGGGAGGTCTTTTAAGGAGTGTAACGCCCTGTCTTTGCAATGAATGTGAGAAGCAACTCCCGCCTCTCCCTTGGCTTGTCCCTTCCCGCGTTTCCAGTCCAGCTTGCAGAGAATCTGGTCCCACTCCAATATCTTTAGCTATTTAGTGGTGTTGCTCCCTCCTGTCATTTTTTTTCCTTCAGTACTTAAACCACAGAAAGTACCTCATCTCAGACCTTTGGCTTTTTGTGCAAAAAAATCCCTATATTTAAAGGCATTTCTAGGTCCTCGGTTGCATGCCTAAAAGATACTGCTAAATGAGGCCATGGCAAATGTTCAGTTGTGGGAACTTTTTCCATACGGCAGGACGATCCCACAACATTTATCTTGTTCTTCATTAGATACATGTTTTCCTACTTATGTTGATCCATGTTCAAAGAAAGGCACATTTCAAGGAAGGTTCAGCATGTTGTTGAACTGGATAGTAGTTACTCTCAGTTTAAAAACCAAAGGTCTAGAAAATAGTTTATAAAATAGTTCAAGTACTATCGAGTATAATAAATTATTCCAGTCCTGCCTTAACCATGAAAGCTTGGGGCCATTGATGCGCTCTCAGCTCAAATTACCTCAGGATTGTGTGGGGAAAAATAGTAGGAAGGAGTTTTAGGTATGTTCGCTGGTTTGAGTTATTTATAAAAAATAATGATGATGGGATGAAAATAAAGTGATCTAGGCTTTTCTTATGCAACAACAGAGATAAATCTCTTTTGTGAGACCAGAACATTTTGACTAATCTCAAATTTAAAGAACAAGGGAAGATTGAATTGCATAATCATACAAATAGCTTTTGAGAGTTAGCTCCACTGTAGAAAGACTTAGGTTCTTGCATGAAACTTTCACAGATATATGCTTTACCAAATCAGTTGATAGTTGAGGATACAGTTCCTTTTTTAAGGTTTTGACATTTTGGAAATGCAAATAGGTCACTGATTTGAAAAGACATGCTTAGACTGAAAACTCCCTCCATGTAAATAAAACCTTAAAAGTTTTTCCCTTGATATGCAGGTGCTCTGTGTAAAAATGATTTCAAGCAGGGGAAATACTATAGTAAGAAGTATACTGCACATGTTCTTGAGGTAGGCATAATCTTTTGTTATCTATTTTCTGGGATGAATCTGAAATTTGCTAGAAACATCATTTTGATAAATTTGCAAAAGAAGTATAACTTTCAGGAGTATATATTCTTTATCAAAAAATATAGTGTAAATTAAGATCACTATATAATTGGGCCCAGTATTCTTTGGAAAAGTCTCTATACCCAGCAAGGGACTGTTCATCTAATGGAAGTTTGCCAATGTACTGCAGTTTATATTTTACCAATTTTTGTTTTTTCCCTGAGACTCTTTTATACAAAAGTATGGTAGTTCAGTCTTGATAGTAAGATTTATCACACCATTGTGACCTAATCATTCCCACATCTATATAATAAATATAGGATGATACTTGGCTTAATGATTCAGTCTTAGAAATTTACTTTGTCCAGAGACATTTCAGAAAAAAATATTTAGCTTTGGTTTCACTAAGGAACAGTGCTTATTTTTAGCTAGCCCAATTATCTAGACAATATTGCTTCTGCTACTCCAAAATGTGCAAGCTCTATATCATTCTTTTAGGCAATTTTTTGTTCCTTGTTTCCATTTTTTCTCCAATTATGTTTCTGATGGAAAAGTGGCTCTCTTCATTATGTTATTTTTAAAATACTCTGACTCTTCTATTATTTTGGTTTTTAAGAGTGATATCTTAAGCCTTTAAGCATGTGTGAAATGCTCAGAAATGTAAAGGTGTTAGCAGTTACAGTTCTTGATCAAAGACATAAAACCCCCTCTATTGATTAGTAAGAAACATGCATGAAGAGGAAATGGTTGGTTGATAAGCAAATCCCTGAAAGGACATTATTATACAGATGGTTTCTTTCCTGTAGTTTATATAATAACTATTCTGTTTCTCCCTCCTCAGGTTACAAAACCACTGATACTAATAGCAACACAATCCTGGCCCTGGATGTATTGTTACCTAGCCCTACCTGGGCGGTCATGAACGGAAGCACCCTGCCATTGTCACCAGTTGGGGGAGGAATGGTGGGAGAACCTGCCTCTCTTCCCTCCTTGGGTTGGCGGGAATTCTGCGAAGTCCACGCTCGCGCTGCTGCAGTTGATTTTGCCCGTCGTTTCCGGACCTTCCTTGGCGAGAACCCCCAGTTTGCCAGCCCAGGAGCTGAAGCTGCTTTCTCACACCGCTTTGCAGAGCACTTCCTAGAACATTTTGAAGCTGAGGTGAGCCGGGCTTACACCAGTGACTTGCCGCCCCGCTGTGACATTGCCCCTTTCACCGGTTGTTCTTCTGCACGGGACCTCTCTGAGACCTGCAGTGACTCCTCGGTGGCTTCCCCTGTTGAGCCTCCATTGGGCCCACCCTCTGGCCTCTCTAGCAGCCAGTCCCGCAGCTCTGAAGATGTTTCTACTGTGGCAGCTGTTACCTCTACGAAGCCAAAGCTGAAGAAGCGCTTTTCTTTGCGCAGTGTTAGCCGCAGTGTCCGAGGTAGTGTGCGTGGCATTCTGCAGTGGAAGACATCAGCTGAATCATCCTCTGGTGGTGGAGATGGGACACCCACCGGAGCCAACACTAATTCCAATTCATCAGGGGGCGGTGACTCAGAGCGTTGGACTCACCGATTTGAACGTCTTCGCCTCAACAGAGCCTCCCCAGCCACTCTGCGAGTCGAACTGGCTAGTGTGCGCCGTGAAGGCCTACTGAACTACATTGTGGCTGATGATGGGTCAGGCGGGGGCAGTAGGACACGCTGGCAGAAATGCCGTCTTCTCCTGCGCAAAGCAGGGAAGGGAGAAGGGGAGGGTTATCTGTTGGAGTTCTATATCCCACCAAAGGTGAGCAATGAGTCATTGTGTTCAGGCAACAGAATAGTCACGGGGAAAAGTCAAAAGCTTGGGATTCCTAAGTAAGGCCTTGAGAATATCGTTATGACAGTCTTTTTTTTCTACCCCAACCATCAGGCAACAAAGCCCCGGGTCAGCATTGCTTGTTCCTGTGTAATGGATGTGCGGACAACAACTCCACTGGAGATGCCAGACAAAGAGAACACTTTTGTGTTGAAGGTCAGAAAAAGACTGTTGGGGTACAGTTAAGATTTGGTAATAATTGAAACATTAGTAGTTATGTATCTATAGCCAAGGGATGCATAGAACTGAACATCCTCTTCTGTTTGTTGAATCAGTATCTGTTACTATTCTCTGGCTGGAGTTTGTTTTTAGCAGTTGACTGTTTCTTGCCTCTTGCATTATCATAAGAGAAAATTAATGGGTCCTTTCTATTGTCCCTCTCCAGCTGTGCTGCCTCCACTTGGCAGCGGTGATGTTTCTGAGCAGATTTCCTTTCAAACTTTTTAATGTCCTTGGGAGGAGAGGAATACATCTCTCCTTCTGTATATAAAATGGCTTCTTAAATGATGTAACTAGATCAGTATGCATGTTGGAGAAAGGAGTTTAGGTTCTTGGTGATTCTTAAATTCTAAAACCTTTGAGAATTCAAACAAGGGAATGCAGATAACCACAGACGCATCTAGCAAAGAAATCACAGCTGAATGAGGGGAGGGTTAAGCAGCTGCTAAAATATCTTTTTGGTTGCTGACTTTGATCAGTGTTGGTGCCCTTCTGTCAAAGGCTAGAGATGAAGGTCTTGATATTTTGTGTGTGTATATGTATGTAACCATTTTAAGATAGGAACAGATGGATTAAGTCCTTGGATTTGATTTGTGGTTATGGGCATGCATGATTCTTGAAAATTAATTTATTTTTATTTATTAATTTTTTATGCCACCTGTCTCTCCTGCAAAGTTATGCCGGGTACTTTGCAAGGTATAAAACAAGTAAAAATAAATAAAATACTAAAACATTAAAACGACCAGATTGAAGTATTATTAAAAGCTGTACTAAAGCTAAAACTGAGAGAGCGAATAGGATGGGGACCCAAGTCAATTCAGTTCAATTGAATGTTTCTCAATTTTTGATAATCATGTTTGCAATAAACTTCATAATATCAGCTGAGGTTGGGGGTCTACCCTTACTGATATGAGTTCATCATTTCAGAGGGAAACAGGGCTTTAGAATAGAAACCATCCTATAGTATTGTATATTTATTATTTTTCCCCCCTTCGTCCAAGCTCTCAAGTTCTTTGGAATACATCCTTGAGACTGTTGACTCACTGCAGATGCGGTCATGGTTGGCTGACATTCAGGAATGCATGGGCCTGGGGTAAGTTGCCCTAAGCATCAAGAAAGGCCATAGCTCAGTGGTAGAATACCTAGTATACAGGTTTCCTAGATTCAGTCAACAAGTAAAGAGAGAAGAGTTATATGGCCTAACAAAAATTTGATGGGGGACCAAGATTTTCCCTCTGTAGAGTTGCTGGTTCTCTAAAATAGATCAGGTGTGGAAAATGTGTAACTGTTCAGATGTTTAGGCAACAGCTCCATCATCTCTCGTTATTGGCAACGCTGCTTGGTCCTTTCTCCACAGACTGGGGATATAATAACAAACAATATGATTCATTACCCAGTTTTCTATAAAGCCGTTTCTCATGAGAGCTGGTGGAAGGAAGATTAGGATAAGAGTGAGAGAGAGAGAACAGATATGCAGGTATTAACAATAATGTTCTTACTATGCCTTCATTGAACAGGGGTGCAACCCTGAGGTTTGGATGGCTGTGGACCAGGTACATGATTCTTGCTCTTTAAAACAAGTGACCGGAGAAGAGCTCCAGGTTATCTTGGTTTTTTTGCTTCCAACAGTAGAAGCTAATGCCTCTGGAAAACTCACAAATGGGGTTTAATAGTGTAGGAAAAAATTGTGTGTCAAGTGCTGTGTGGTGGCAAAAATCAAAAGTTGTCTAGTGGCCCCTTTTCCAACTAATACATTATTAAAAGGCATAAGCCTTTGTGAGTTGCAGCTCACTATCAGATGCATAGAGTGTCTTGATGGATATAACAAAAGTTAGAATCTTTCTTTGTTGTGGCCAACATCAAATTGTTAGGTATATGTGGAAACATTCCTAACGATACTTGTCTCCACAGAGAAAGCACTGATAGCCTGGAACAGCCATGCATGAACCACTCAGATAGCATGCCCAGCCGGGAACTTCCCATGGTGCCAAGTGAGAGCAATGAACAGCTCAGCCAAGGTGTGTATTTGGCACAATGTATACCTTCTTGATCTCTCGGTAAGGACAAAGAGGCTTTCCAGTAATGTCTTTGTGCAGGCAATCTATTTGCAGTAGAACATGTTACAGAATGCTTCTCTCAAGGATGACATTCTCTGAAAAGCTCTGCTGTGCAATATCTTAGCCAGCAGGCATAGAAATACTACCATATATACCTGCAAATAAGCCAAGAATTGTAGGTGCCACCCCCCCCCCTTCAAATTGAGTTCCACTTATAAGGTAATATGACTTATTTGGGTATATCCCAATTATACTTGTTTATAAGTCCATCTGCAGATAAGCTGACCTTCAAATTTTTAACCAGTATACATGAAAAATGAATAATCTATAAATTCCCCTTGAGTAAGGCCAATTGTGAAAATTAAAACATACAAAACATTTTGAGGGTTGGCTTATTCACTAGTGGCACATTTTTCATGGTATTTTGGTTAAAAATTTTGTGGATTGACTAATCCATTGATCTGCTTATCCCTGAGTGTAGTTTTGGGTTGTAATCAGAGTTCTGGCTTTTTCCGCTATTTATGGTAATACTGTAGTAGAATTATATGTCTTTTCAGTGATTGCTTTCTTTACGAATGTTATATGAACCCATGTTTGGCAGCCAGGAAATATATATTTAAACATAATGCTGATTTTGTTAACTAAGTGTACAAACAGTGAAGTGAAACTTTCCATAAAGTTTGTCCAACTGAGATGAGATGAGGCAAGACTTTCTCCATTGGCCTGCCTGGACTGTATTACCATTGGTAAGAGGATGTATTTTGTGATACAGATAATCCTTGACTTATGACTACAACTGAGTCCGAAATTTCCATGGCTAAGCAAGGCGATTGTTAAACAGCTTTTAGGCACAAACTACACCTTCAAGATAAGCACCTGAGAAAAATGCAAATTAGTATTAAATCCAGGATTTGATATTTATGAGGGAAAAACCCCACATAAAACTTTGGTAAAACGCTACTAATTTCCCAAGAAAAACAGGTAAAGATTAAAAAAAAATCTCTGAAATCAAGCTTATCGGCAATAATATAGAAGTGCTTTTCCATGGTTGTCTTCTGCAGTGTGTGTTCAACTTTCAATTCAATAATAATCGGCTTTGGCCTTTCTTAACTTTTTTCAGAATCTGCCAAGGTCAGTTGGTGTTGTTGTTTGCTGTAGATTAAGAAAAATGGAAATAAGCACAGAGCATGTGCTCTCTTGCGGGGATGGCAAAGACACCTCCTCCTTTGGGGTATAGGTACAAAGTGTAGTTATGAACCTTGGAAGAGGAAATGATCTGGTTTTTTGAAGATGGGACAGGAAGTATGATTTTCCAGCTCAGCCCAGCTTGCAATGTTTCCTTTCCAGGTGCCTATGGTGGATTGATAGAACGTCCCTCAGCCTCCATGTCTCCCAGCTCAGTCTCTATTGCTGCCTCACACTTTGATTCAATGGAGCTGCCTCCTCCTCAACTGCTGCCTCGGGTGCCAGTCCATGAAGGGCAATTTTCCACTGGCTTCCTCCATACAACTTTCCCAGAAACCCCTGAAACCACAGGTAAGTGGGATGAGTTGGTGCTTGGTCTAGATTAGGGGAGGGCTAGAGGAATCTCCCATCCCCGGAGCTCCTATTGTGAATGGCATAATGGTGGAGGAGAAACTAGTCAGCAGTCCCTATGGACAAGCCCAGAGTGGGCAGGGTTTGTATCACTTAGCCTGAACTTTCTTCTTCTGAGATAACCTCTGAAATTGTATGCCATCCAATCAAGGTTTCCTTGGGCCATGCAGCTTCAGGATCTCTTGGGTTGAATGTTGTGGAAGTGAGATCCAGATTCCTCTCTGTGAGCTTTGGCCCTCTTCTGTTGCTTTTCTCCTTGCTCAGGTTCCTTCCTCTTCCAAGGGGAACCCGACCCGGGTGGGGGTACTCTGGGTGACACTGAGCACCCACTCTCTGAATACCCATGGTTCCATGGCACCCTGTCCCGTCTCAAAGCCGCTCAGTTGGTGTTGGCAGGAGGAGCAAGCAGCCATGGCGTCTTCTTAGTGCGTCAAAGTGAGACACGGCGGGGTGAATATGTCCTGACCTTTAACTTCCAGGGGAAAGCCAAGGTGAGTGAAGCGGGGGAATCTATCAAAGGGTGCTTATTTTTATTTATTTATTAGATTTCCGTGCCTCCCATCTCGCCTCAAGATTTGGAGGCCTTGGTAGAGGATAGGCTGGAATCTTGGTCAGGAGACGTTTTCCACCCAGCCTCTTTTTCCTACCCCTAGCACCTGCGCCTCTCCTTGAACGAAGAAGGGCAGTGCCGTGTTCAGCATCTCTGGTTCCAGACTATTTTTGACATGCTGGAGCACTTCCGGGTCCACCCCATCCCCCTCGAATCAGGGGGCTCCAGTGATGTGACACTTGTCAGCTATGTGGTTGCTTCGCAAAGGCTGCATGGTGAGTGAAGGATGAAATGGGGCTGCAGGGTGGAAAGAGCATAGACACGATTGCTAGTCCATGTCATGCTCCATCTCCCTCCATCTTTTTCCATTGTCGTTCCAGTCTGCCCCTCCTTTGTTACTCCGCTCCTTGTCCAGCCTTCTCTTCCAGCCCTATGCGGCATGCATGTAGCAGGAGGGAGGATAAACCCGTTCACCCCCATGTTCACTGCTCCCTCTCTTCCTCATCCCCAATCCCTATTTCTGATGTGGGCATCTCTGTCACAGGCCGGGACCGGGCTGGGAGCCGAGCGCCAGTGTCTGGGTTCAGTGGGGACCCCGACTCGCCCCCCAACCTCATCTCCATCCTTGCTGCTGCCTCCGCGGGTGACTGCGTGTAAGTGTGCAATAGCTACCACAGGAGGAAGGCAGGGATATGACCGTGTGTGTGCGTGTGTCACGGCCCCCACGCCATAGCCATCACTGTCCATGGGTCATGTGAATGCAGTGTCTACGCCATCCACTGTGTCTGACACCAGGAGGCAGGGAAGAGATTTCAGGTGCTCCTTCTGGCATTTCCAGGTAGGACTAAGAAAGGCTTCTGTACAGAACCCCGAAGAGTCACTAATAGTTTCTTTAACTGAATGGAACCATAGTCTGGTTTGGCATAAGGCAACTTCTCTTGTTCTGTAGAGGGGGATCTTAGAACTATTGTTTCAATTATCATCTGGGCAACTCCTTCTATAATTCAGTTGTATTAGATATAGCAGAACTCTGCAGAAAAGCCTCACCTGTGACGAACAGACCAAAGTTAAAGATTATCTACCCAAACTCCAAATAATAGAGTAGTGCTGCCTCTTTTACTCCTCTCTTCTAGAAATTTACTAACTCAGGTGGTTGAAACAATCCTGAATTTGGTGATATTTCCCTCTTTGCTTCCCCTCCCCTCCAGGGCAGGGTTATCATGTAACATGAAGAATACTATTTATTAAACCAGTTTTCGACCAACCAGATCCTTCAAAATGGTTTGGGTTAGACTGTCTTCCCCATTTGCTGGTGTTAATGAGAGTTATAATCCAAGGCATCTAATGAATTCTAGGTTTGAGAAAAGTTTATTAGGGCAATTGAGAGTGAAAAAAAGGCCAACACGATTGCCTTAACTTTTGTCTCCACTATGAAGCACAGGAAGGTATCCATAATTGAAAATTCTTATGTCTCCTAAATATGTTATAGAAATAAGGTAGGTACAGTATATCACATAGGTATTGTCTACAATTCCCTTGTAGAGGAGAAAAAAGAAAGGTACAACATATTTCTGAAATAGCACATGATATTTGTAACTGAATCTAAACATTTATGCTTTTAAAAATTGTTAGTTTTACCAACTTTAAACAGGAGAATCTTCAGCATTTATTACGTAGATTGGAGTTTCATAGGACAAAATAAATCATATTATGAATTCACCTGGTATATTTAGCCATTCCTTACAGTAGTTTAATGAATTAATTATCTAATAGTGTCAGCATAAAATACATGAAGAATCCCTTCTAATTTTAGAAGATTTGAAATTCTCTCTTCACTGGAAAATTGTGTTCTAGTGCTCATATTTCACAGTATATTGCCACTATTCTGTGAGAAGTGTATAGAGCAGTATTTCTCAACCTTATCAACTTTCTGATGTATGGACTACAACTCCCAGAATTCCTCAGCCCAGGCAGTTATGGAATTATGGGAGTTGAAATCCACACCTCTTAAATTTATTGAAGTTGAGACATGCTGGTGTAGAATAAAGGACAGAATTTCAATGCTGGCAATTTATCATGCCTTCCATCTCTTCATAATTAGCCATCTTTTTCTATTAATATTTGGAATTGCAATCTCTGAATGGTATCTATCAAATAAGAAAAAAACAATGCATTACAATAGTTTAGGATTTCACCTTGTTGAATGATAATGAGAGCTTTATGTCCTTAAAATGCACTAACTGTAGACTGACAGTAAAAATATCTAAAATTAAATAGGTAAGATTGTTTTTAGTAGGTGATAGTCCTAATAAAAATCTAGTTCAAACAATTTCTGACCCACATAAGTCCTGGCTTAAGTAAACCTGATTTTAAGGATAGAGTTCAAAACATAATGCGCCCCTTTTTTGCACATGTGTAAAAAGTCCGTGCTTTTGTGCATGTGCAGAGTGTGCAATCTGGTATAATCAGTTTGCACAAGGTTCCTGGAATAGGGACCTGACTAACCAAAGGATTGCTTTACAAATGATTTAAGTTCATTTTATGCAGAAGCAACATGCCAATTTTGCATATTGTAATGGATTATAGAAAACACCTATTTTTGTGTAACTTTTTTAAAATGTGGAGCACAGCCCCAGGTATATTAATCAGCCCTTGTCTTTATATAGTCTTTCAACAATAGTAACTTGATTTCATTCGGGGGCTACTGCAGAAAAAACAGGTTTTAGAAGCCAAATCAACACAATATAACCCTTTCCAGACAATTTCTGAACTGGGGCATTTGACAAGCATTGAATATTGTAACATAGTTGATGCTGAATCTGTTCATGGAGGAGTATGTCTTGCTGAAATAATACTGGCTCTCAGTGTTTATTCCGTCTTCCTACCTTAACCCCAGACCATCCTGTCTCTCTATCTGTCCATCTGCCTCTTCTCTCCCTCCACAGAGCCGAGCATCTTTCGTAACCTGCCACTGCCGCCTCCTCTCCCTCCAGCCCGGCCACCTCATGCTCCTCTGGACCATGGACTGCTGGAGTCTAAAGGGCAGAGTGAGGAGGAGGCCCAGATGGAGCCAGAGGTGGATGAGGGAGCATCGGTGAGAGTCGGGGGATCCCTTCCTCTGCCAGAGGAGTCAGAAGGGCGAGCCAGAGCTGTGAACAACCAGTACTCATTTGTTTGAACCCAGTGGTGATAACAAAAAAAAATAATAAGGGAACAAGCCCTTTTGCTCTAACCATTACTAGGTGGAAGATCTGAGGCTGACCATAGGTACCAGATGGGCTTGAACACACAACAGACTTCTAGACTTTCCTTGAGAAATCCTTGAGGTGGGGATGGGTCTCATCCCCTAGTTCTTCCTACCCCCTTTCCCTGGGTATGGCGCGAGCCTCACTTTTGCTTACCCCCCTCTCCCCACCCAATCTAGGTACATGACCTCTCTTGGGGTTCTGCTATCAGCTTTCAACCCTTTGGCCTGCACTACTTTGGTCCTGTTTGGGTTGTTGAGAAATTGGCCTGTTCTCTCCCTCTCACCTCCTCCTCTTCTTCCTCGTACGCCCCTCCCTTTCTTCAAGCCTCTGCAGTTGGATAGTCCACAAGAAACACTACCTGGAGGAAATGGGAGTCGTCGTAGCTCCAGGATAAATGTTGACTTCCATCATTTGTACCCTTGCCTTTCTTGGTGAATGTATGGAGTTTCTGAATGTAATCCTTTCCTCTCCCAGTTTCCTCTTGTGGGGGAAAGTTGGCTGCTTTTTTCCTCCAATTCAAATATATATTTATATTATTTTTTGTTTTGTTTTTTTGCTTCCTTCCCTCCAAATCATGGGAACTGGTCACTTATTAAACAGTCTACACCCCAGGGAAACGTATTGTGCTATGAAAATACAGCTTTTGGGAGACTGTCCTCTTCCTCTTATTCCCACTGCTCCCCTCCTTCCCCTCCTCTTTTAAGATTTATTTTTCTACTGTGGACTAGTTGGACTGCTCAGGCCTCCCTGCCTTTTCAGTTTTTTTTCTTTCCCTTTTTTAATTATTCTGGGATACAGTTCTGTGTTTTGTTTATGGGGGGGGGAGTTTGTATAAAAAAAATAAAGGAAACATCATTTTACCTTTTTAAAGTGAACTTTTTAAAGAAAAAATAGTAAAATTAATAAAAACTGAAAGGTGGGGGAGCAGCTTGTTTATTTTGGGGTAAAATGAATATTTGTCAGGTATCCTCTTGCTTTGAACTAATTTTCCTGCCTTGATTGGCAAATATGGGATCAAATGAAGATATTACTTTACATTTACAGTAGTCGCTTAAAGACCCTAATTGGGGCCAGCAACTCCGCCACTAAGCAAAATGATCCCTAAGTGGGATGACCACAAAGTCACATCACTACAATTGCTTTTCGGCCAGAAAGAAACAAGATGAGTCAGTTTCACATCTTTGGTTTGGTTTTGGTTTTGTTCGCCTCCTAACCGCTCCCCAAATGCTGGAGTGCCTTTTTATTGTCTCTAAAGTAATGTGACTGCTCCACATTGTGCAAACAGCTTACAGCGCTTTCTTGAAATCTGTTTCTCTCCAGTCTTTGCTCTGATGGGGGGGGGGGGGAAGGAATGTAAAAAAAAAAAAAGCAAGTGATTTCTATAGGCAATCTGACTCTTTTCTGCTGCTGGGCTATCAATATGTAGAAGAACAAACTGATTTTTCCCTTTTGAAAGCTTTTCCTCTCCAATCTTCCCTGCGGAGGGGGGAGAAAAGGTCAGACAAAGGAGATATTGTGATTACATTGCTTTCGATTTGTAGAAGAGCAAACAGCTTACTCTCTCGAAACCCCTTTCCAATTTCCCTGTTCTGCAAGGGGGAAAAATCCGTAAGAACAAAGCAATTCTTGTTGACTCTAATGGTAATCATTTGACCGAGGGACATTGCATATGTCATAAACAGTTGTGAATGAAGTATAAAGTTATTTTTCAAGAACCCTTGTGAGTTTGTATAATCGCTGGATGAATGGTAATTAAGCAAGGACTATCTGTATAATGCTTGATAATCATCAAGTTTCACATATAAACCTCTTATTTTTTTGTAATATTTTATTAATTTTCTAATTTTACATTTAAGTATTTAAAAAGCAACATGGTGGCTGGGTTAATCGATAATTCAACAACATACAAAAATCTTTAGTACAAACCTCAAGCTACCACATCAAATATTTCCTCTCTTTTTCCCTTAATATCTACTGTCTCATATTTGAACTAATACAATTCTTATATCAATTAAGTAAAAATAGCATTGTTACATTTATCAATAAATTTTTAGCTTATACATATCCTAGTTACTTTAATATTCAATCTTCGTAGACAATCAATGTCCTGCAATTAGTTTTTCCCAATTTTTAGTTTCCCATCAATATTTAAATTTAACTTTCGATATTTATAATTTCCAAGTTTGAGGTAAGCAAAGTTTCCTTTATCACAATTCATAACAAAGTCTAATATTCAAGATACTCATCTATTTGAGTATATTCTATTTCCCACCATCTTACATCATCTAGTTAATAATACAGTAAAATATACAGTAAAAATAACATCCTTATTTTTAACTAATTTCCAAATGTCTTAAATTTAATGACCAAAATTTCCCCTATTTCAACATCAAACATTTCTTTTTCCCTTAATATCTATTGTCTCATATTTAAGCTAATACAGTTCTTATATCAACTAAGTAAAAACATGTTTATTACATTTATCAATAAATTTTTAGCTTATACATACCTTAATTACTTTTACATTCAATCTTTAAAGACAGTCAATATCCTATTTATTTGTTTTCCCCAATTTTTAATTTCCCATCAATATTCAAATTTAATGTTTAATATTTATACTTCCAAGTTTTAAATGACCAAAGTTTTCTTTATCTCAATTCATAATAAAATCTAGTATTCAAAATACACATCTTGTCTATTTGAGTATATTCTTTTTTAATTAGTAATATAAAATCCTCTCTAATAAATCAGAACCCCATTTTTTTCAGCCTTATTCTGGCTTTCTTCCTTGGCCAGCTTGCCTTCCATATCAGTGCTTTTAAGTCATCAAATAGATCTCCCTCTGTTGTTATATACGGTGCTTTTTTTCTAAAAAAAAAAAAAAAAAGTGCCAGGACACACACATGCCATACAACCCGCCTTGCCTACTCTACAAGGTTCCATCCAAAAAAGGTACCGGAACTCCGTTCTGGGCATTCTATGAGCAAAAAAGCCCTAGTTATATATGTTTGAAATAAAAGAGATCATCCAGTCGCCATTTTTTTGGAAGGGCTAGCAAATCATCTCTATTATTCCAGATCCCCATAGTTGTTCTGATATGTTTGTCTTCCCTTCGGTCTGTTCTTGCTCAAGTTTCTTCTGCTTTATATAGAAAGTCTTTTCCATTTTCAGTGTTGTCAGTCCCTTTTCTGGATTTTCCATTGACTGTATTTGTTGGTCAGTTGAATCCTCTATCAGAGTATTTAATTGTTCCACTTCTTCTGTTATGTTCTGCGTAGTTGATTCTCTAATTGTAGTCAAAATTTGGGTTCGTATATCTAGGCTGACATCTTGTTCTTTTCTGTAGCATCTTATTTCATCACAAGCTGAAAGAATGGTTTCATGTATTGTTTTCAACATAAAAAAAATCTGTTCCTGGTCTTCATCCATATTCTCTTAATGGTGTGTTAAATCGAGAGCTTTAAAGTCAGAGAATAAAAATAATTTTATAACTGAGTATATAATACAGCTGAGCTTCTCACAGCTGATATTTGTCAAGGTTGAAAAAGTCTTATCTGTAGTCTGGGCTTCAAGCCAAGTCTCCTTTAGACAATAAGAAGTTGAAATATCAAACCTGGCCACAAGATGTCACCAATGCCATTTAAGGTTTTTTAAGTCGAAAATTTTTATAATCCTTTTTCCAATTTTATTTCTTTTTTGTAAATAAAAACCAAAGTCTTCAGTAAAGATAAGAAATCTTTTAGAAGCATATAAATCCAGTTAGATTAAGGTTATTCTTTCAGTGTTTAACTCCCTTGGATAGTCAGTTGCCGCTATTCTTAGAGGGTGGGATAGAGATTCCCTTCCCTCTTTCCTCACAGGGGGGAAGATTCTTTGGGCAGCTTTTACAGGAGAAGAAAATACTTAGGATTGAAGAGAGGTTCAGATCTCACCCAGTCTCATCTGCATTGCTTTAGAAGTGCCTGGTGGTAAGTTTGAATTTGGCTGTCTGTAGCCTAGTGACGAGCCATATTTCTATGGCCAGTCTTTCGTCCGCCGGTTTGCAGGGCTTCCCCAGATTGAGTGGAAGGGTTACCGCCCTCCCGCGATCAAGCTGGGGGTCCCCTCCTTGTCACCCCTACAGGTTGATTCTCGACCTTTTCCAGGGTCCCCCAGCAGAGCGAAACCAAACATAGAAGATGGAGCTTGCCTTCCAGCGGCCGCAGTGGCCCCGATGGCAAACCAGAAGTCATATAAGCCTCCTCTTAGTCACACTTGATTGCTGATTGCTTAACGGAGATTTCTCTGATTTTCTTAGTAATAGTTTTGAAGTGTTTTGCATTAGCTTTTCTCAATCTGCAGGGACCAAATAGGGTACATCTGAAAAGATACTGCTTTGGATGGAAAATACTCCTGAAATATATCCCTTTTTTGAAAAAATATGTCCCATTTTTTTGAAAAAAAAAAATGGAGTAGAAAGTGACCTAATTCACACAGTGCCAAATTAAAATCACAAATAGCATCGTGATTTAGTCTGGAAGTTGAACCATGGCAGCTGGACTTATTTTTCCTGTTGATTTGAGATGTTTCGCTGCCCATCCAAACAGTTTCTTCAGTCTGAACAAGTTGGTTAGGGGAATCTCAGTAGGCAGAGAGCCGTTGGAATGTACCAACTTCTAAATGAAGATTCTTAGTCATTCAGTAGAATTGCCACACACCTTGGGGAAGAACCCAATTCTACCTGGATGACTGGGAATCTTCATTGACGTATTGCCACGCACTTTGGGGAAGAAATCTGAAATTGGCACAGGAGGTGCCCTAAGAATTTTAGGAGTTGGTACATTCCAACGACTCTCTGCCTACTCAGCTTCCCCTAACCAACTTGTTCAGACAAAAGAAGCTACTTGGATGGGCAGCAAAACATCTCAAACCAACAAGAAAAATAAATCCAGTTGCCATGACTTATCTTCCAGACAATCCTACTGCATGACTGAGAATCATATCAGTCAATCAATCAATAGATACCACTTAATAGCTACCTGCCTAAACTCTGCATTAGCAGCATCAAGAGAAGTTTCTTGGATAAGGCATTTTATAGTAATGGCAAAGGTTGCAGACCCATCTCCAAAGAGCTATATGTTCCTGTGACCATAATTATTAATATCAAGATGTTTAAGGTCCATGGGATTGTAGCCAACCTCCCTTAATATGGCCACAAGAGGAAAATTGACTCCAGATTGAACGGAAGGACAGTCTGGTGAAGAAAGAACCAAGGAAAATTTCAAAAGGAGATCTTGGATGACTTCCACAATCAAGTACCACAATATCAAGTTGCACCATCCACTGCTATCCAAAAATTGTATCCATGATAGAAGACCCCATTTTTGAAAGACTGACAGAAAAAGCAGACTAGGGTTTGGTAAACTGCTACTTTGAGAAGCCACAAACCTAAGAGAATGTCCTTTGGAGAGATGAAACACAATTAGAGCTTTTCCGTAAGTCACAGCAGATTTAGGTGCACAAAAGGAAAGTGATACTGAAAAAGAAAAGAAAATTACCTTTGTTGTAAAATGTGAAGGAGAAGGAAGAGAGTCCATAATGTTCTGGGGTTGCTTTGCTGTCTCTAGCACCAGATGTCTTGAATCTCTGATGAGCACTATGAAATCAAGATCATCAAGACATTCTGGAGCAAAACAATACAATGTTAGTCACAGATCCTGGGTCCTCTAGCAGGTAAAATGACCCAAAATATACATCTAAGAGAACCCAAAAATGGTTGAAAAGCAAACATTGGATTCTTCTGGAATGGCCTGTTATGAGTCCTAATCTGAATCCAATAGAACATCTATGAAAAGAGCTGAACTACAAAGTTGGAAGAAGGAACCCATCATACTTACAGTAAGACCATCTAAGTCTGGTAAATACCTCAATGGAGTTGCA